AGACAGGGAACAGGCCAGTGAGGGGTCATCCAAGTGCAGGAGCCGACCCTGTCTTTATATGAAATTTTGGTATTTTGCTCATCATGGATTTTTTTGTATTAATTTTGATTTTTTTTTTTTTTTTTCAAATCAGTACTTTTGGTTACTGAGTTCTTTGGTGCCCTCTTAAACTTCACACCCCGGTTTCAGCCCCAGAAGCAGGGTCTGTGTAGATGTGATCAGGGTCACGACAGGAGGGCTAAGATGCCTGGCTAAGTCTTCAGACTTTACTTGTGGTCTTTGGAAAGGGCACTGGAGGGTCAGAAGCAAATAGATGATGTGACCAAAAATACCACCTGGGGGCTATTGGTCTGCAAGCCAGCTGGAGAAAGAGTGGAAATGCCCAGAGCACCAGAACCAGTCGGGGAAACGTACTGTGAATTAGGAACAGTAGGCAGTGAAAAGGAAGCCTGGTGGCCCCATGCCCTTTGTGTGTCTTTGCCTGCCCCTAAACCACCCCCAGAAGTCAAGCAACTGAGCAGACACAATGAATGCCAGGCTCTTGCCTCTTTCTGTGTTTAATATGGTCGATTTGTGCAAAACAGGAAGTTCTGCTGTGACAATGGCATTGTTTGTGGCTGAGAAATGTACTTTCGAAAACTCTAAAAACCATCGGTCCCTTGCGCTGTAGGTCAGCCGTGCTTATGGAACCTCCTGTTGGGTGGGCCCCTTTCCAACAGGGGCCACGATTTCCCCCTGCTCTGCCAGGAATCAACTCAAGAGCTGCTCTGTTCCTAAGACGGGGGACGGGACTGCTTAAGCCTTTTAGGAATTCCTAGCCACATGGGGCCCTGGCACCGCAAAGGAGAGGGGCTGGCTGTGGGCCAGCCGGGCCCTGTGAAGGCAGGGAGATTTACAGGGAGGTCACAGGAAACCCTCCCCCGCCTCAGGCTTTGGTCCTACATACACCGTTCAATCCGAGGTAGTGAGGTAGTGGTAGCAGGCTGGGGAAACTCAGAGGTAAGGTAATTCCTGGAAACAGAGGTAGACAGGAATGTGCCGTGGGCCCCAAGCTGGAGTCGGGACGCCAGTCCCTTCAGCAGGAACTTCTGGCCCCTGTTCAGTGGAATTGGAATTCCTGGCTCTGATTCACTCTGGTGGACTGCCTGGGACTTCTCTGGTCATTGTCTAAAATGACTTTTTTTTACTAGGCCAGGATGACGTTCTTTTGCAGAGTAGTCTTTTGGAATCAGGGTCCAGTTGGAAACCCGACTCTGTGGCTTCCTGGCTGTGTAACCTTGTGCAGGTTGTTTGACCTCTCTGAGCCTCAGTTCCTTCATGGAGTTTACAGGACAAAACCCAGCAATAGTCAAATCCCTGCTCTGCCACGTGATGTCCATAGGACCGTGGGCCAGACACTTAGCCCTTTGGAGCTTCGGTGTTCTCATCGTTGACAGGGGCATAACTATAGTGTCCACTCCAGAGCATAGTTGTCAGGATCAAAAGAGACAAACCCCTAAACAAGATAGAACGTGGCAAATAGTAAGAACTCAATAGACGCTTACTGTAATTACTGCTATGGTTGGAAATGGTAGCTATTAGAACATAACTTTGGAATAAAGTGCAATAAACACGGGAGCAAGTTGAACTTCAGGACCCCAGTGAAATCCTTCAGAACTCTCCTCTGGCTCCGGTCGACTGACTCAGTCAAGAACTGATGGAGCATCTACTATGTGCCAGTCACTTTGTTAGGAACAGGGGACCTGGCAGCTAACCAAACAGGCACACTTCCCACTCTCATGCGGCCTAATGTCTGGTGGGAGAATCAGACAATCAAATAATTTTATAAATTTAGAGTTAGTTCCCTAAAGTGAATTGAAGGAAAAATCTGGCAGTTATGAAAACTTATAATAGAAGGTGCCGGGGACACTTCTGGAGGAAGTACAGGTTGATTTGAGATCTGCAGATGAAGAAAGTGATGAAGTCTGCCCTATGTTCCTCCCTGGACCTGCAGGGGCCCTGACGCCTGGAGGTCTTCGCACCTCCACTCCTCTATACTCTGGGGGCCCCCTCCGCCAGGTGTAAGGTGCAGATTGTAATACTCAGGGATCGCCCTCCCTGCTTTCCCTTCGGGAGTTCGGGCAGACTAAAGATCAGAGTAACAGGTGCGCTTTGCAGAAAGGGGAAGTTGTATGATGCCCGAGAAGGCAGACTCGCAGCTGGAGACCCGGCCTGGATGGGAGAGAGCCAGCACCCAGCATCCAAGCCCTTCCCGGCTACCCCTGCAGACTCAGCAGACGGGGACTTGCATGTTTCCTGCCTACCCCACATTTCCCGGGCTGATGTAAAACGAGCGAAACGAGGCCAAGGGGTGCTGGCTATGGACGGAGGGTGTGTTGTTTCTCCTCGAGGTCTCCATGGTGCCAGGACAAGACATGGACTTTGATCTCCCTTCAGCAGTTGGCAGAAACCTCAGTTCTCACCGGAGGCCAGATCCACTTTTGAGGACTGATCCCTCAGCCCCACCACTGTCAGGAGCAGCCACTTCTGGAAGCTTCGCATCTAATTCAGGCTGGGAAAAGCATCTCGAATTCCTATTTCTGTCACCCACTCAATCCCTTCCATGGCCTTCCCTTTTCTTAACTTTGGAATAGTTTCAATTACCTGGCATACAATAGTCACCTGGGTTTAATTTTTTTTTTTTTTTTTTTTGAGAGGGACTCATTTTAGCCAAGCAATCGCCAACAATAGCTTGATTATACTCCTAAATTCTTTCGACACAAGCACTGTTTCTTCTCCAAAGCATGCTCTGACACTATCGGAACATTATACTGGTTCCCTGCCCTAGCAGTTTTGCCGGATCTCACCCACTGAAGAAACCAACTGTAAATATTTGACATTCCTCGCACCTCTGGAAGTCCCCGCAGTCTGACCTTCTGGGGCTCTCCATTTCAGCTTTAAAGCCTCAAAGAAGAATGGAAAGAAAAGGCCGGAGTGTGTTCCAGGCCCTAAAGCTCTGCCTCTTTATAAATAGTCACCGCTTGAGGGATGCGTGTTAGTTCGGGTGTCGCTGTAGCTTAGGTTTCTAATAAAGCCTTTTGTGTGTGTTTGGTCAAATACAGACACGTAGAATTTACCATTTTCACCATGTTTAAGTGTACGATTCTGTGGTGTTGAGTACATTCACAGTGTCATGCAGCCTCCAGCACTGTCCATTTCCAGAACTTTGTCATCATCCCAAACAGACGCTCTGTACCCATTAAACAGTAACTCCCCATTCTCTGCTCCTCCGGCCCCTGGTAGGCACTCATCTATTCTCTGACTCTACGAATTTGACTCTTCTAAGCACCTCATATAAGTAGAATCAGATAATACTTGTCCTTTGGCGTCTGACTTCTTCCACTTAGCGTGATGTCTTCAAGGTTCATCCGTGTTGTGGCACGTAAAGACTTTCATCCTTTTTTAGACCATTGTGTGTCTTTCTCCCACGTGTTGTTTATCCATTCATCTGTTGATGGACACTTGGGTTATTTCCATCTTTGGGCTAGTGTCTAATAAAGTTTAACATAATACATGGGATTTGGCTCCTCTGTGACTTAAGACCAATGTAACAACTACTTTTACTTCAGTTTATCCTCTAGAAACAGGATGTCAATCAGAGCAACTTCCCACACCAGGGCTCTGCAGGCAAAGTCGGGGCGAGGGACGGTGAAGGAGGAGTATCTGTGGTCACTGTGGACCTCGGCAGAGCTACACGGGAGGGTCTGGCTGGTCAGAGCTGGCACCCTGGTTGGGTGGGATTGCTCAACATGGGGTTTCTGCTTCTATAATACAAGAGAACTTTCATTCATTCATTCATTCAATTAGTTCAACCCATTCATTCTATTGTTCTCTCACTCATTCATTCCAATATTATTTAATACAGTCATGAGCTCAGACTGCCCTGAGCTTCCATCCACTAGAGGCAGAAAGACAAGCAAATCGACACTGACGAAGCCTAAAGGTAAGGGTTTCAGGAGAAGAAGCATGGTGCGCTGTGGGAACCCAGAGGAGGCACCTCTCCTGTATTTGGGAGCCAGGAAAGGCTGTCTGGAGGAAGTTCCCACCTGTGTCAAGTCCCTGGGGAAGGGAAGAATTTAGCCAGTGGAGCAGAGGATGGAAAGGGTGAACCAGGCCCAGGAGGGGAACACGAGGGCCCAGAGATGAAAGGGAGGACCAGCAGTTGGCTTACGTGTGTGTGACTTGTGTTTTGAGGTGGGGGTGCAGAGACTCATGGGAGGTGGGAGGTGAAGCCACAGGTGTGGGCAGGGACCATTTGGTGAGGGAACTCGGGTGGCGTTTAGGCTTCATCCTGGGGCAAAAGAGAAGTCGGATGGCTTTGAAGCAGGAGAAGAAGCATGCCCTGTTCTACCCTTGAGGGAGCCAACATCTACTGAGCACTTTCTGAGGGCTGGGTGCTGCTTACTTCAGTTAACCCTCACAACAGCTGACCAGGGTGGGTGATGAGGTCCAGAGAGAAACTTCCCAAGGCCCCCAAACGGGCCTGGCAGGATGCTGATACAACCATCACTTCTGCTATTCAGGGTGGTCTGTGGAACAGAGACCATTGTATCTCCTGGGAGCTGGCTGGAAATGCAGAACCTTGGCCCTGTACCTTCTGGATCAAACCCTGTCTTTTAACAGGGTCCGCAAGGGGTTCCTGAGCACGCTGAGGTCTGAGAAGCACTAGGGTGATTCCCAAGACTCAGTGCACATTAGAATCTCCCGGACAGTGCTCCAGCTCTACTCCTGGATGAATTATATCAGAATTTCTGGGGCTGCCACTCAGGCATCAGGACTTTTCAATGTTTCCCCAAATCCCTTGCATTCTGTGTCCCCCTTTCCAGGGAGGGCAGGCTGACTCCTGCAGGAAGGACCAGGCACCCAGCCACTGGAGACTCTGCAGCTTTAAGAACTGGAGCTGGCTGCCTGCCCAGGAGGCCACAGGAGGCCGCCCTGCCATTGCATGGGCCACGTGAGAACGGGCTGCGGGCTGCCACAGTCAGCGCTGGGGCTGGCCTGGGCTTGCAGACCTGAGCCCCACGAACAGCCCCAGCGGCGGTGGCGCAGGCGAGCCGAAGAAAAGGGACCTTTATGCCTTTTGGGGGGAAGCACACATTCTGCGAGGCCATGGAAACAAAGAGAGGAACTGTTTCTAGCCCTAATCCCAACATCTCAAACCAACAGTAAGTCAGGAGGGCACAGAACACGGCACAGCCCCTCCCGTGCCCCAGGACAGCACACAGCCCACCCCACCTGCAGCCGTGGAGCGTGGAGCCCTTTCTCCACGGGGGGCCTCTGGAAGTCAGGGCTCAGCTCCCGACAGGGACTACCTGACAACACCTCAGGTGTGGGTGGCGTTTCTCCACTCTGTCCCAACTCCTGCAGGGGCCTTGCAGTCCACGCCACTGCCCCCAGAATGCTGAGGTCTTGTGAGAGCAGAGAAAGTAAAACAGAAACCTGTCAGTGTAACTGTTGGTCTTGGGGCCGCCAGCTTGCCTGGGAAGAGGCAACGAAGCTGAGGGCCGCAGCGGGGGTGGCCGAGGGGGCTGTGGCCGGCACCGGCAGTTGGCCTGCAAAGTTTCTCGGGCACCCGAGGGCCTTTTGAGGAGGGAAAGGTGGAGGGGGGGGGCAGCAACCAGATCATCACCTCCACCTTGCCTGGAGACAGAGAACTGTGAATCCCATTCCAGGCTCTCTCCAGGTCATGAGTGGGCTTGTCTCCGTCTCCATGGGGGACCACCACCAACTTAGCACATGCAGTGACTCGCTTGGGACCCATGTGTCACCAAACGCTAAAGGCAAAGCCTTGTGACTTTGGGGTGTCTCTTCTCTCATGTTATCTGTGCCTCCCTGCCCACCTCCTTCATTACGGACAGTTGAGAGCTAACTATAATCCGCCTTACTTCCTGAGACTGCGTGCAAAAATTATCATGCGTTGGGGGCGGGTAGCAGGTTGAGATTACGTTGGCAGAAAGGAGAGGTTGGCATTGATTGGCACGCAGAGGAGGGAAGCTACTGTGTGTCTTCAAGATCACTGGGTACATGCCAAAAGGAAGGGAAGGGGAGGTTTAAGAGTAGGGAGCAAAGAGAAAGCTGGCTTTACCAGCGGGTGGAGTGAAGATGAGGAAGAAGGAAGAGGAAGGTGGCCTGAGGTGAGGGGCAGGGCAGGGTGGGGTTAGCAGAGAGAACGCTGAACTGTGGCTTGTCCAAAATGATGATGAAGCATCTGAAGGAGCCAGATATGACATCCGGCGGCAGGGCTAGATCCCAGAGATCAATTGCTGGCCCCTGAAGTGTTTTATTTATTTATTAATTTGAGCATCTTTGGAAAATGGGGAGACTTCACGTATGACTCTGAAAGGCCTGGACGCCAGGCTTACACGGCGGTCCCCACTCACACGCAAGCATTTTGCCTGCCCCACCCCACTCCGCAACCTCTGTACCTGCCCAGTTCCCATGGGCATTGCAACTTGCTGTTACTCCTGGTCTTGATGATAATGATTTTCTTCCATCGAGCCTTCTATTGAGTGTGTGTGTGTGAGCCGGTGTGTGTGCGTGTGCGCGTGTGCGTGCCAGGCACACAGGTGTGCTCTCTTTCGATGAATTTCAATTAATCTCTCCCCTTTTCGGTTGAGGGTGACAGATGCACAAAACCAGACATACCCCTCTCCTTAACAGATTCCACAGCCTTTCCAGGCGATCTGCCAAATTGCTAGATGACATTTGCATTAAAAAAATTGAGTGCATTTTCCTATTTTGATTTTAAGTATTTCCCAGCCTGCGTTAAGGCGCTATTTCACGTATGCCACACTTAATAGCTTTGAAAGCATTTCTTAAACATAGTGGATTCATTTTCTCCTTCTAGCAGTTCTGTGAGATCGATAGTTTGGGTCCCCTTCCTGTGCTCTCTTGGAGAAAACAGGCAGCAGAGAAACCAAATGACTTGCCTTGGTCCTGCAGTAATTTTGAAGAAAAGTTAGTAAGAGTAAGCTGTGTCCTTTACACTGCATGGAACTGTAAAACATTCTGCTTTGAAAAGCATAGTGACTAAGGGTAGGATTTCCATCCAGAGTGCTGGTTTGACCACTGGTTAGGCCACTCAGTAGCTGTGCATCTTCAGACAAAGAACTGAATCTCCCAGTGCCTCCTTCTGTAAAATGGGGATAACAGCCCTTATCTAGGGAGCATTGTGTGGATTAAATGAGACAACATATGCAGAGTATCTAGAACAGTGCCTGGTACGCTGTAAGGTTTTGATAAATATCACCATCAGTACTCAAACTACTAGTATCTGTACCTGTGGGAAACATTCTGTATGACTTAGGGCACAGGCTAAGTTGTAACAAAAAGACCCCAAAATACATTGGCTCCAGAAGGATAGAAGTGTATTTCTCTTTCATTCACTGGCCAGGAGTTAGATGGTCGGTGCAAGACAGGGAAACAACTCTGCTCCACAGGGTCATTCAGGAACCCAGGTTCCTTGAACTGTGTTCCTTCCCACCCCCTAGGGGCCTAGGGTATCCCCCTCTTCTGCATAGCTGTAGCTGCTCAAACACGTCCACCTTCTGCTCCTCCTACAGGCAAACAGCCCCCTTCTCGATGCTGTGACTCAGAAGCTGCTCAGGCCCATCTGCTCAGATCGCTCATTGACCAGAACTCGGGGAAACTGAGCTGCAGGTGAGTCTGGGAAATGTAGTCTGTAGCTGGGCCAACTAAATACACCCAACTAACACGCAGGAGTTCTCTTACTAAAAGGAAGAAAGGGACGGCAGAAATTGGGAACAGGTCATGGTCGTGGGGCCATACCGTCCCAGATGTGCACCTTGGACCTGAATCTGGAGGGGTTAGTGCCTGCTCAGGCTGCCGGTTTCTCAGCCCATCTGAGCTCTACTTCTTATTGGATGCCTGATTTACTCTTGGATTTCTTCTTTAGCAAAATCCAGGGACAGCTCTGGGCTCCATGTTTCAGATAAACACCTCTGGTGGTGGCATAGTTATTTCCTGTGGGCTCACCAGACTGACTATCCATTGGGTTGGGCAGCCTGTCCCCTTATCACCCACACCTCCTAGCAAGGGGGCATTGGCTCTGTTTGTTTTCTTCCGGATCTTTTGACAACTTCCCCAACCTGCAATGTAAATTCCATCCTCCAGAGGTGTGATCTTGAGTCCGGGGTGGCTGATTAAGGAAACGTCCCTGCTCCTTCCATTCTCCTGGAGTCCATCCTTGCATGTGTTGAAGAGGGAACCTTCTCCCCACCTCATCAAAGATCACCTATGAGCCCACAGGCGTGTAATAAAGAAATCAAGCCACATATTTGGTGAGTGATTTCTCAGCCAAGTGGTCCTGCAGCTCTGCGGTCTTAGAGTTCAACCTCCATGGTGGATTTCTGAAAGCACTAAGTTAAATAACAACTGGCTCAATGAAAGGAAGTGTAGATCAACATTCCATTCTTATCATTGCAAGTAACTAAGGTTGGATGGGCCACAAAAGGGAATACCAATTGTCTGGGGGAGCTTACTCCAGGGACAGAGAAGGTACTTTGATGTATACTGCCTAACAGATGAAGAGGGAAATATGGATTTGTTGAGGGCCTGCCATGTGCCAAGCACCTGCTCAAGGCAGAAGTCAGAGCCCTGAGTAACAAAACAGGCACCTGATGGAGTCTATAGCCTAGCAGGGGTGCTCTGCATTAACCATCTCATTTAATCCTTGTACAATGCACAAAGCATGTATATTTCATATTTTGTGGACCAAAAATGTGAGCTCAGAGAAGGAAATGGTAGGGACGGTTTTAACCCCATGTCTGCCTGATTCTAAAATTCCTGCTCTTTCCATTTTTATTTCATCTGCCTCCAGACACTGTCTTTGTTGAAGAGGGACTCTAGCCTATACACAGACGTGACCTGGCCCCTTGTGCTAAACACCTGAACCAGTGACAGCTATTAACTGAGGGCTTGGCTTCACTTGACTGTGGTGGTTGGGTTTTCGCTCTAACCCACATCTCTCTCTCTCTCATCCCTGTTGCCCGCTTATCCTTCTGTGTGCACCCATCCCTGCTCCTTCCTGGGGCTCTGATTGCTAGAGGAGGATTGTCCACCACATCATCTGGACCATTAGAGTCCTGGGTTCCCAAGGCTGCCAGGAAACTTTTCCAAGTGTTCCTAGACCCTCCCCTGTCCCATTTGGTCATTGGTGTCTCCTCCTGACTATTCCTCTTCCATCAACCCCTGTTTGAACCTCCATTTCATTGTCTGTCATTATCATGATGGAGGATCCATCCTGTCCACTGATAAAACTGAACAAAATTTAGGGCTGAAGAAATTTTTAAAGTCCTCCCTGGCCGTGCCCCAGTGTGTCTCCTACTCTGCTTCTCCACTCCTCCCATACCAGGGAAGACGTGTGCTCCTGCCCATGGCTGATGTTCTCTGTGTGCTGCAGACTCCCTCCCACCTCCCTTGGAGGCCCCCTTCAGCCACTGTGTTCTCTTGCTCACATCGTCAGCCTCTTGTCTACTGACATTCTCATCAGTCTCTCCAGTCTGAACAGTACTCTCTTCTTGATCCCATATTTCTGTCTAACTTCTCCCTTTAGTTTCCCTTTCTCTCTCCCTTCACAGCCAAGCTTCTTGAAAGAATTGTCTACCCTGGCTGTCGACACTGCCCACCTGCACATTCAGTCCTCCATCACCCATTGTGATCTGGTGTATGTTCCCATGATCAAATGCCCAGACTGATGTCATAAAAGACAGCCATTCTCCAGGTCCAGCTGGTGTTTTTCTTCCCTGAGGTGACTCTATCTTTCTAGAATGTTGGTACTATTGCACACCCCCACATTTTGAGCCCCTCTCTCTAGGTGAGAGGTACCTAGCTAGCAGGTGTCTCTGCTCTCTAGGTTTCCACTTTACTTTGCTGGACATTGTTTTCCATCTCCTTATGGTCTCCTTATGGAGACCTCCTTTTCCACTCATTCCCTGAATGTCCCCTGGGCCTCTGTGTCTCACCCACTGCTCTTCTCGCCCTCTCCCTTGGTGTCTTTGGTGTCCTCCCCACTCTCCCTCTTGACATCTGGTCCTGAATGTCCCATTTCTCATGGACAGCTGCTGTGGCTGTCCCCAGGCTTCTCCCACTTAGCATTCTAAAGCCAGACTCCTTATCAGGCTCTTCCAAGACTTACCCACCTTCTAATGTCCCTTATTTTCAGGAATGGTACCACTACCCCAGCTGCCCATGCCAGAACAAAGGGATCTAGTCATTATCTTGGAATCCCACTTCTCATTGCATCTTTTGCTTTCAATCAGGTATCATATTCCGGTGAATCTAGCTCTTCCAACTCCTGTAATCCCCCCTTCCCCCTCATTCCCCTACCGTTGGGGAAAGCTTTTATTGCTTCTCACCCAGCTGTGGCAAAGGACCCTTGAGGGACTGCCTCTACTTCTGTCCTCCATTGGAGTACCACCATAGGTATTCTTCTAATGCCGTTGGCTCAGGGCATCCTCCTGATCTTCAGTGCTCCCAAATATCTCCGATAAAGTTCATGTGCCTTTAGTTAATCACATGACCCTTCCTGAGTAATTCCTTGCCTACCTTTCCAGCCCCTCTCCATCTTGACTCCAAGTGTGCCCACCACTCAGCGGGCTGCGCGTTCATGCCTCGGGACATGCCTTTACCAGCAGGGCCTTCTTCTACCTCCCTCCTGGGGCTAATTTCCGGTTGTCTGTCAAAACTCAGCTCAGGCAGCATCACGTAGACCGTGACTGCCTGGCACTGCTCTCCCAATTTCACTCACCAATTTCCCCATCAGCAGCTCCAGGGCTGAAGCACGTTGTCGGCACATAGAAGGTGCTCTACAGAAGGTAAAGGAATGGACTATTTTTTCAGAAACTTCTCTCACTCAGGAAGCCTGAGGCATCAGGTTAAGGTCCATTGTAAAACTCTCCAGGGTGTATCGGGTTTTTTTTTTAAATGGAAGCACGGTTTGGCCTTGACAATCAGACATTTAGAAGCTGCACAGCCAGTCAGCTGAGGGCCGAGCTAATTCACCCCCAAGGAGCTAAGCAAAAGGAAGAAGGACTGCTGTCCCTCCTCCCCTCTCCGTCTTTCCTCTGGGCTGTCAGAATACATGGTATTTTTGCATTTGCCCTGGGGTTCTTTATTCTCTGGGGTTTCTGAATTCCTTCAATTATGGCATTTGGCCTAGGGGGCTGACAGTTCAGCGGGATTCAAGGCTTCGGGTAGGAAACAGGGTCTGTGGGGGTAGCTGCTTGTGAATTCGTGGTGGATTGGACTTTCTGTGAGCAGTGCCCTCCCCCAGCCAGGAGCACGGAAGGCTCAGAGAAAGCCTCGGTGGAAGGTGATGCTGCCCAGGCCAGGGAAAGCCTGTGCTCCTGAAACCACTGTTGGCATCTCGCTCGGATTTTGTGGTTCAGTAGAAGCAAATCCTCACGTTTTACAGACGCTTTCATTGTTATGATGCGATTTTACCTCCGTACTTGAACTTTACTTGCCGCCAAATCTGTTCTCTGGAATGGCCGGGATTCTGTCTGTGAATCACCTCAGCACTTCAGATAAGGCACTGGCTGGCTGTCCAGCTGTGTGGACCAGGACCGGTCCAACGGCCCAGACCATGAGAGCCAGAGAGGCCAGGAGCCTCGTCCCTGTCACCAGAGGAGACCTCTACTTCTGCTGCTCCCCCCCAAGTCTGGGCTCCCCGTGGCTGAGGAGATTGGCTGGGATCAGATACATCACAGAATGTGCAGATCAGGACCCAGGGTTTGCAAGTGACAGTCCCAACTTATGACTTATGCAAGAAAGATGAATTTACTGGCTGAAAAGGCCCAGAGGGAGATCTGTATTTAGCTATGCTTGTTTGTAGGGTCAGGGATAGTATCATCAAACCATGCCTCTCCCTTCATACCCCTTGGCTCTGCTTCCTTCTCAGCTGCCTCCTTTCTCGGGCCAGCCCCTTCTATGGAGGGACAGAAATTGTCCTTGCATCTAGTGATTTCAGGGCAAGAAACTCTTCTTTCCCAACAGCTACACAAATTCAAAAGGTAACGTCGATTGCCTATTTATTCTGGGTCGTGTGACTATCTGAGTCTGTTTGGGCTGCTAAAACAAAAATACCCCAGACGGGGGGCTTAAACAACACACATTTATTTCTCACAGTTCTGAAGGCTGGGAAGTTCAAGATCAAGGTGTGGGCAGATTTGGTGTCTGGATAGAGCCCACTTCCTGGCTGACCTCACAAGGCAGAAGGGGAAAGGAAGCTCTGTGGGGTCTCTTCTATAAAAGCACTAATCCCATTCATGAGGGCTCTACCCTCATGATGATGTCATCACCTCCCAGAGGCCCATCTTCTGATACCATCACACTGGGGGCTAGGATTCCAATATATGAATTTTGGGGACAGATAAATAGTCCATTGCAGTGACCATCCCCAAACCAACCAACGTGATCTTGGGGGATGGGGTATTTTGATTGGTCACCTGGGTCTGAGAGAGAGATTGACAGCCCCACCAGGGAAGGGACAGTCAAAATGTCTGGGCATGTATGAGTTTCTCAGGGCTGCCACAATAAATTACCACAATTTGGTGGCTAAAAACAACAGAAATGTATTATTTCACAGTTCGGGAGGGCAGACGTTTGAAAGCAAGGTGTCAGCAGGGCCGCATTCCCTGCCAAGACTCTAGGGAATAAATCCTTCCTTGCCTCATCCAGCTTCTCTGGCCCCAGGCAGTCCTCAGCGTTGCTGGTTTACAACTGTTTGATCCCAGTCTCTGCCTCCACCATCCTGTGGTGGCTCCTTCTGTGTTTCTCTTGTTCTGTGTCTCGTCCTCCTATAAAGACACTCATCATTAAATTCAGGATCCACTTGATTAATCCATAATGATCTCATCTTGAGATCTTTCACTTAATTACATCTGCAAAGACCCTTTTCCCGAATAAGTTCATATTCACAGGTGATGGGAGTTAGGACTTAGATGTATCTTTTGGGGGGGGGGGCATAATTAAACTAATTACAGGGCAGAAAGAAAGTAATAGATAGCCCCTACACTCTACCTCTTGACTGCCTAGCATATAAACAATTTCAGAAATGCACCACCATACAAACACTTTTTCCCCATACAAACAATTTCAGAAATGCACCACCCCAGCGTGGTAAAGGCTGCCCACACGTAAGCAAAGCTGGTGGCTGCGCGCATTCTTCTTGGTCGGGTCTGGATGTTACTCTTAAGAATCTGTCACTGACAGCTAACTGATCAAGTTCAACACCCCAGCATTTAATGGTGGAGGAAACAAAATAAGACAGTTGGAAGAA